TGGTCACATATACTCTACTCTCACCATCCTCTTGTTGATTCCAACTAACCCTGTAGGTTTCCAAGATTATAGCCACTTACTGGAGTAGAAAGCCTTGTCTTTCTCCCATGGTGGTGGTGGCTCTGAGCTGTTGGCCTGTGGTTAGCAGCCTAATGTGTAATCCTGAGTCATATGGTAGTTCTTTATTCAACTTTCTGAGGAGCTGCTAAATTGTTTTTCATAACAGCTGCACCATTCCTATTTCTCCACAGCCTCACCCACACTAGTGTTTGCTGGATTTTTATCATCGCCATTTTTATTTGGAGTGAGATGGTATCTTATTGTGGTTCAATTTGTGTTTAGCTGCTGGCTAATGAAGGAGCACTGGAGGCACAGTGGTTAAAACAGTTGGCTGCTAACTGATAGGTCATTAGTTTGAGCGCAGCAACGAATGTGGCAGTCTGCTTGGAAACCCTGTGCCCTCCAAGGTAGCTGCGAATCAGAGTTGGCTCAGTGGCAATGAGTTTCATTTTAAAGGCTTATGACTTTGAGCAGATTTTCATGGTTTTGTTGGCCATTTGAATATCCTCCTTGGTGAAATAAATGTCTGTTCAAATTCTCTGCCATTTTATAATTGAAGAATTTGTTTATTTTAGTTAAGTTATAGAAATATTTTATACATTTTTTAATATTAGACCTTTTGTGTATATACGGTTCTCCCAAAATTTCTCATACTCTGTAGGCTGTCTTTTCAATTTTTTATAGTCTTCTGTCTAATAGAAATGTGTGATATTTATGTGGGTCCTATTTGTCTGTTTTGGGGTTTTGGGGCTCTGCATTCCTTGGTTGTCATATCTGATAGTTCATCACAAAAATCTAGATCTAGGCTTTGACCCTATATTTTCTTCTGTGAATTTTATAGTTTCAACATTCAAATTAAGCTCTTTGATCTATTTTGAAGTGGTTTTGTGTGTATGGAGATAGGTTGGCCTCTGGCTCATTCTTCTGCATGTATGTACTTATCCAATTTTATCAGCATCTTTTATCGAAGCAACTTTTCCCTTTCACGCTGGATGAATGTAACAGCATTGTCAATAATCAGTTGACCATATATATGAGGGGGCATCAAAAACTTCATGGGAAAATGTCATCTTTTAATTCTATTTTCCCAGTAACTTTTTGATGCCCCCTTATATATGAATTCATTTCTTAGGGAGTTAGTAGTTTTGATGACCATGAGAATGGTGCTGTTGTGGAGACAGAAGAGTGGAAATGGGAAGGGTAGGAAACTTGGGGTGGTTGGTGCAAAGTTTGGGAATGAGCATAGGTAGCCTGATAAAAAAGAAGAACACGTCCAGATGAAGAAGTCCAGCAACTAGTGTGAAGACAAAGATGTCAAGATAGGAGTCATTTGCAGAAAAGTGATAACGGGTGCTTTCCAAAACACGATGTTACTTAAACAAGCACAGAGAAGTCCAGGGCGAAAACTGAGACTGGAATGGAGGGGAAAACTCTATTGAGGTTCTTGGGGGAATAGAACAGATAGGGGTAAATACATTAAAGAACTGAAAAGAGACACTCCCATGGAAATTCTTAACAAGGATGACACTCATTCTGTAAACAACCCCTACCTTTTACCAGACACTATTAGAGAAGCTGAAGCTACAGTAATGAATAAGACAAAGTTCCTAACACAATCTTCCAAAAATAGTGTTGTGCTAAGGCAGTGGTTCTCAACCTTCCTAATGTCTCGGGCCCTTAATATAGTTCCTCATGTTGTGGTGACCCTCCCAACCATAAAACTATTTTTGTTGCTACTTCGTAACTGTAATTTTGCTACTGTTATGAATCGAGTGACCCGTGTGAAAGGGTTGATCAAACCCCAAAGGGGTTGCAACCCACAGGTTGAGAACTGCTGTGCTAGGGAAAGGGTAAAAAATGGACAAAAAAAAAACAGTGACTAAATCCAGTGATGATTAGGGTCATAGTGTTAGCACTATGGAGAGACATAACCAGGAGAATATGAAAGAATGCTATTTCTTCAATACTTACACTCTATAAGCCCTTCAAAAAGATTGAAAATCAATGAGTCGGCCTAGTTTGTAATTAGTTTTCTGTGGAACTGAAACTTTTTTCCCCTTTTCATCTACTCACCATCAATGTTATCAGCCCTTACTGATATTATAGTGAAGACATATTACTTAAAATTAAGCATCAATTCTTGGGCCTTCCTTATTCATTGTTCAGCTTTCACATGCATATGAGACATTTTAAAATACCATGACTTGGGCCAAGTGCAACTAGGCCTCAAAGTGACATCTTTGCTCTTTAACGCTTACAAGAGGCCTTTTGCAGATTTGTTCAATAAGTTACATGGTTGAAATAAGTCAGTGTCTGTATGCAGGACATCAGTCCCTTGACTTTGTTTGGAAGGCAACAATTTTAAAACTAATAGTTTTGGTCTTACATTTTTCTAAAGTTGGCTGAATTGAGTGATACTCAACAATGATCTCGGGTCTGTCAGAGAAAAACTGCTCCACTGGGTTTTGATGACTTGTTTTTTGGAGGTAGATCTGCAGGTCTTCTGAAGCACCTCTGGATGGACTCAAAGCACCAACCAAGCTCAGGAACCATGTGCGCTACTCAAGGATTCTGTCTTGTCTGTTCCTGAGGCCTCCCATAAAGTCTTTGGAACTTGGTAGCTTAGCTTTTCCAAAATAGCCTTCTAACTTTAATATACAACTGCTAGGTCAACTCATTTTGGAGAAAGGTGTTGTTTAAAGACATTTACAATTACAACCACTTAATGCTGTCATGTACATATAAGTGAGCTAGGTACTCATTGGACTAAAAAGAGAATACAGTGACCCCTCGTTTATCGCGGTTAATCAGTTCTAGACCCTACCGTGATAAATGAAATTCCGCGAAGTAGGATTCCTTGTTTGTAAAGAGCATAGAGGACATGAAAAAACACCCTTTAGTCACCATTACACTCGTATTACCCAATTTATTAAACGAAAAAGGGAAAATACAGTAAAACATTTTGGACGTTACAATTATCATTTATTATTTGTTATATTATTTATGGCATCAAGCGTGTACAGTATGAGCCAATCAGTGGCAGTAATGACAGAGCATGCACTGTTACACAAAAACCGCGATAGAGTGAAGCCGCGGATGTCGAAGCGCGAAGTGGCGAGGGTTCACTGTATAGCATTTCTGGCTGCTGCAGTTTGGAATTAGTATTGTCTTCTTTTCAAACAAAACGAAAACCTCTATGTTTGTTAACTATGACTTGTTTGTTGAAATTTGTGTAACATGAACATGTTCCAAAATCTGGCATTGTGAGCTTTAGGCTTTCTTTAAAAACCAGAGCAAAAACCTCTTATATGCCATTGTGTAGGTCTCTTTAAATTCATTAAATCACTCAGCTTTTTTTTTTTAATCAATTTATTGGGACTCATAAAATTCATCACAATACATAGATCAATTGTGTAAAGCACATCTATACATTTGTTGCCCTCATCATTCCCAAAATTCGCTTGCCTCTTGGGTTCCCAGAATCAGCTCATTTTCCTTTTTTCCCCTCCCCTTCCCTTCCTCTGCCCCCCTCCCCCATGCACCCTTGATAATTTATAAATTATTATTATATCTTATATTACACTGCCCGGCGTCTCCCTTCACCTACCCCTCTGTTGCCCATCCCCCAGAGAGGAGGTTTTATGTAGCTCCCTGTGATCAATTCCCCCTTTCTACACCCCCCTTCCCTCTTGGTATCGCCACTGTCACCCCTGGTCCTGAGTGGTTCATCTATCCTAGATTCCCTGTGTTTCCAATTCCCATCTGTACCGCTGTGCATCATCTGGTCTAGCCAGGTCTGCAAGGCAGAATTGGGGGTCCTGGTAGTTGGGGGGTCAACTTTTTTTTAAGAACAAGGTTTTGATAGCTCTTTGTCCCCATAAGTAGTTTTGCTTTTAGCATATTTTGACCACATTTTATCTACAAAAGTTATTTTTTTTCTGCCCCAAATTACGTACTGAGATATGAAAGTTGTGTATTATGTCATAGTTAGATGGTATCTTCTAGAACAGTGGTTCTCAACCTGTGTGTCGTGACCCCTTTGGAGGTTGAACAACCCTTTCACAGGGGTCGCCTAAGACTGTCGGAAAACAAATATTTCACAATATATAATTATATTTTTGGGATTAATCACTATGCTTTAATTATGTTCAATGTATAACAATGAAAATACATGCTGCATATTAGATATTTACATTACGATTCATAACAGTAGCAAAATTACAGTTAATGAAGTAGCAACGAAAATAATTTTATGGTTGGGAGTCACCACAATATGGGGAACTGTATTAACGAGTCGCAGCATTAGAAAGATTGAGAACCACTGTTCTAGAAGGATTGCTTGTTAACTTTACCTGATTTCTCATTTTTCTCTTTTAGCAATTAGATGCTATATTTTCAACTAGTATAATATTATAATAGATATCTATTTTATTCTAATCATATAATAATGTATATGTTTTTTATACCCTTTCTTTAATAGCCTAGCCAAAACCCACGGCTGTTAATTCCAACTCATAGTGAGCCTATAGGGCAGAGTAGAACTGCTCTGTAGAGTTTATGAGACTGTAAATCATCTTTCTCCAGGGGGGCAATTGGTGGGTTTGAATCACCAACCTTGTGATTATTAGCGCATTACTTTACCATTGGTACCACCAGGACTCCATGCCTGTAGTAGAACCAAAGCAAACCAAACCTACTGCCATCAAGTTGATTCCAACTCATAACAAAACTATTAAAGGTTTTCGAGGCTGTGAATCTCAGTGGGACCAGACAGTCTTGTTTTTCTACCCAGGTGGGTTTGAACTGTTGACCTTGCCTGTCCAAATATTTATTAAACCCATTTTTTCCCTCGGATGACACCTTAAATGATAAATATCAACTTTATTATGCTTTTACTGTTGCTTTTATCACAAGTGTATTTCTCCCTTTTTTCTGGTTAGATTTATTCTCCTGACCATACCAGCAGTAGTTTTCCATCAAATCCATCAACACCAGTTGGATCACCCTCACCTCTCACAGGTAGGCTTTTGTCTTATCTCACTATTTAATATACCTGAGACTACCTGGAAATAACTAAAATTCATTTTCTTTTCAATAAGATTTGTAACATTCATGAAAATGTTTTATCGATTTTGACTTACAAGAAAGATCATGTAAACAGAGCTTTTTTATTCAGTTAAGTTTGATAGAAGAGTGAAATCATTGTTTTTCATGTAATTGTGTATGTATGTCTTTATTCCTAAAATAATTGGTAATAATTTTGAAGATTGATTAGATAAAAATAAGGCATCAGGATGAATGTAAAATAGGTTTTTTAATGTTAATAAGATCGCATGGAAAATTAGCAAATTAGAAATGTCTGTAACTTTCTTGTTCTCCACATTTGCTTTGTACCATATGTATTGAATCATTAAGGTCTATTTAGTTACTCTCTCTCTCTCTTACACATGCACGCGCACACACGAGTGTGCCTCAGATAGTTCATGGAAAGTTAGATTCAAAGAGAATTAAATTTTTCCATAAGCTTTTTGAAACTCCTTCATTTGCATGTATGAATTCTTTGGGGTGTTGTAGTAAAGAACTGTGTGGATTCAGATGATTATTGTTAGAGATACACAGTTCAGATTTGCTCTACTTTCTTCTGTTGTTTGTTGGATATTTGTAGAGTTGTAGAAACCTTTCTCTAGTGTAGGATTTTGTTGAGACATGTTTTTTATTATAAATGTGGGGTTTAAATTTATAAGAAGTAAATGAAATGACAAGAAAGGTTTGATACTATTAAGTGATCATTCAAAAACTGAGCTCTGTTTCTGTGAGCTTGCAGAAGAAGGAAGGATTGTGTTTGCTTCTTGTAAGGAAAAGACAGCAGGCAACTAGGTAAATTGCCGTATTCCTCCTCCAGTATAAGTTGAACTCTGAAATGATGCTTTCCCTGATCAAGTCGTTAGTTATGGCCATGCGGCGCTTCTTTTCTTTTTCTTATTTACTTTTTATTTGGTTAAGCTGTGTTGCACTAGCAGGGTTTCTGGCAGCTTTGGCTCCGCCATACCAGGGCTGTCTCTGTCACCTGTGCTTTGTGTATGAGCCTAAGCAGCATTCCAGCGCACAATGATGAACTGCTGGCAGCTGCGCTCAGCTATTAGCGGGTTCTGCCACTTTCTCAGACACCCTGGCTTCAGCTGTCTAGTAAAAGTTGAGCAGCTGTTCCCCTCATAGACAGGACTATGAAAGACCCATTGATTTAAAGTTGTTGTTTAACTGAGGACTGAAATTACAGGAAGAATGATGTAACTTTAACTCTACTCACCCTCTTGGCACTGTTTCACTAAGGTCTTCAGCGCGGTTTTTGCCATCATCTCTGACTCTCATCTGAGGTGTCCACATAGTCCTTGCTGTACTGGGCCCACTGCCGTTCCTCCTGTACCTGCTAAGATGGTGACAAGTGTCCTTTGGTTTCAGATAGCACTAGGTAGGAAGGCAGGCAGCAGGGGATCTCAGCATCTATGAAGGGACTTTGGTGAACTGGAAAACCAGAACCTTAGATACTTTTTTACAAATGATTCAAAGCAAAATCTCACACAGCATTGTCTCTTTATCTGATGGTTAATCGATGATGTAATCTCCCATTTTAATTCACTTGACAGTGGTTCTATTAAATTGTGTGGTGGTTTTCAATTCAGCAAAGAAAAATACTTGGACTTATTCTTGCCAAAACTATAAGCCAAAGGCCGATTTTATGCAGGTGTATCTCCTTTCTCCTCTGTATCTAGTAGTTCCCTCTTAATTCTATACTGTGTTCGGTGGTTTTCAATTCAGCAAAGAAAAATACTTGGACTTATTCTTGCCAAAACTATAAGCCAAAGGCCGATTTTATGCAGGTGTATCTCCTATCTCCTCTGTATCTAGTAGTTCCCTCTTAATTCTATACTGTGTTCGTTCTCTCTCTCTCTCTCTCTCTCACACACACACACACACACACACACACAAGTGGCAGAGCAGAGATTCACAGGAAAGGGGAAGAGAGGAGGACAATATGTGAAAAGGATAAGACATTCAGTGAAAGGAGAGAAATGAAAAAGTGAATCGGAGTCTCCTGATGGTGGTTAGTTTCTACCTTGTGTGGTAGGGTCCTGTGACCTAGAGTGAAATACACTGCCTTCTGCTTCTGTCTACTCTTGGCCTAATCCTTATGCCTGAGTGTTGGTCCAACTCAGCACGGGCCAACCCACAGGTGCAGAGCAGTCATTCTTGTTCAGACTCCCTTCAGTTTCCTTAGGAACTTTTCAGACCAGGAATTTACATTTCGTCCTGGAAAATGCATGTGAGCAAGCTGCTGAGATTACAGTGATTTGGATGCTTCAAGTTGAAAGAAAGATAAGCTCTTGTTTCGTCTGACTTGAGCAGTAAGGGGACTTTTGGTTATCTTGCACAACTAGAAGCCCATTGCTCATACAATGAAATGCTGCTCAGTCAGTAGAAGTCAGATTGATACATGCTACGGTATGGATGGAGCTTGAAGACATGCTGAGCAAATAGGTCAACCACGGAAGTTGTTATTGAAAGACGTCATTTATACACAGACAAGAAAAAGCAAATGTACAAAGATTATAAAGTATTTTAATCTTTACCAGGGGCAGGAAGGAGAATGAAAAGGGAGTTTAACAGTGATGGAAAAATCACATTGGTTATAAATTGAGTCGCACAACTGACTTTTATAATTGCTGTAAGTAAGTTGAGCATTTGTAAAAAGTTGAGTTGACCAAGAAAAGCCCGTAGAACAAATTCCTGACTATATCAGGACCCCTGCTATAATTCTCTGAGGTGGCAAGAGAGCAGAGTAAGGCATCCCATGTGCACATAACAATTGCCCTCCTGTCTCGGGGTCCTGCACTGCGCCTAATGCAGTAGCTTGCAATGGGAATGGGACCACCATTTTAACCCTTGACATCAAGATGCTTCTCATATTGTGAGAATAGAATAATTTTCTCTTGAATTATGAGGAAGGATAGACACTTTCCTGATCAAATCAAGCCTCTTGAAGCAAAATAGAGTAGAGGAATGGCCAGTTCATATGTGATTTCACCAGGTTAAGATTCTGTTTGCACCAAGTACAGGACAGTGGGACAGCCCCACTGTATGCTAAGACAAAGTAGATTTGAGTTTATACAGACTGATGTTCCGTGAAAATACAAACACTGTACAGTATCTGTATTTCCTCAGTTTAATGGATCGTATTTTAGGGATATACATTAGCATAGTTTCTTCCTATCATTATTGAGCAAAATGAAGGTAGGTGACTTCTTACCTGAGGAACCCAGTGCACATATCTTGTAATGACGAACCACAGAAGCTGCTGGTTGTACAAAGCATGCTGACAATTCTGAGGTGTTTCAATACAAACCATGTGTTAATATTCCACAGTTAAGTAATCAGATCAGCCATAGAGTACAAGTGGAGTGGGATGAGGGTGGAGCAAAATGATTGGAAAGTCATCAAAGTAAATATTGATGTTAAGGGTAAATATTTTTTAAATAATTAGATGTCTTTTTCAGAGTAGGTTATGATTAACATCGTCATCTAAAAATTCTTATTTCTGTGTCAAGAGTTTAAATTCACTGAAGTCAGTGGAAAGCATTGACAGAGTGGCTTTTTTTTGACTGAGGGTTTGTTTTGTTGTTTTTTTCTGGTTGCTAAGTTCTACCTATTGGTTTTAAATTAGTCCACAAGCATTTGTTTTAATGAGAAAATTTAGATTGCTTGTGTAGCTGCGTTAAAATTATATTTTTGGTCTAGCAGGAAGCCTTTAATGGTCCGCAGAATAACTAGTTTGTGTTTTTATCTTAGGGAAAATATTTCTTAATTGATTAATTATATAACATTCACGGTTTCTTAAAATTTTCATGTGTACATTTTTCGTATAATCATAACAGCATGTATATAAATTATGAAATCTAATCAAGTATTAACAGAATATATGCCCAACTTTTTACTTTGCAAAATGTATATGGTTGGTGGGAATATTACTAGGTTGATCAGTAATCTAATGGTGGTGTTAAGCTAAGGTGACTAGGTCTGATTTATGTAAGGTGCACTCATGTTGCCTTTAGTTTCAGAAATCTGGTGGTAATGATATACAACAAAAGACTAGTGGAAAACAGTCTAAAATTTTATTCATCAATTGATGAGAAAAAACAAGTAAATTTTCAACTTCCAGTTTTTAAGTTTCTAATATTAAGCAACCTTTTACTGAAGCTTGCGTGTGTGTGTATACACATATATGTGGGTATATGTTTTAATGCATGTTTTAAATTTAATACATATATAGATTGAATGGCTTAATATTTTCTGTAAACAGCTAATTTCAAAAGTAGTCATAAAATTCTAAAGACTTTAGATCCGTTTTTGTCTTTTTAAAACAATTAAGCAAGATTATTAAACCACTGCATTTTCCTTGACCCATGAATGAGTCTTTTATTTTATTTTTTTCTTACCTTTTAAATGCCTTTTATTCTTTCTATTCTTAATTTGTCTCCTCTTTTATCTTTCTATCTTCCACATCCTTATATACTTTTCTAAAGTTGAAGGATAAATAGCACAAAGATTTTTTTGTTTGTTTTTTTAATCATTTTATTGGGGGCTCGTAAAACTCATATCACAATCCATATATCCATCCATTGTGTCAAGCACATTTGTACATTTGTTGCCATCATTCTCAAAACATTTGCTTTCTACTTGAGCCCTTGGT